GCAGGCAGTCCGAGGCTTTCCCACTTTGTGAAAGGGGCCACAGCACTCAGGGAACACAGGCCTTGGGAGAAACTTGACCCTTAATGATCGCCGATCACCTGTTTGGCTGGAGCGGAGTCCTGTGCTCTGCTAGCCTGCTGTCCTTCCGCAGGCATTGTCATTGTCATTGTCATTTTCAGAGCCACACCCACCCATTTGTCCCGCTCACCAGCCATTGCCTTGCCTGCTGTGCCCTGTCCCACACTGCTTGGCAGCTGTTATTTCACGGCCTGTGCAGAGCTAGGAATCCCCCTTGAATTCACCTGCCGGGCTGGGTCTGGGCCGTCGCCAAGGCTCCGGAGAAGGAATGCACGGGACTTGGGTGGCCTGCCACATGCTGTCAGGGGTGTCACGTTCTCCTGGGTCCCAGTGTAACCCGAAATGCCACTGCGAAACTTTTATGCCTCAGACAAGTACGATGCTTTGATCATCTGAGAGTTTTCATAATTTAAGAAGTATAAGAACACGTGTCCAGGAGTTTTGATCAAGGCTAGAATGATAACGCCTAGGACTTAGTGAATAAAAATGGAACCTCCTAAAAGTTCCTACATTGACACCCTTGTTAAAGCTTTGAACTTTTTCAGAGAAAAAAATTACAAATGTGATAAACCTTATTTGAGAGGGCTGGATGGTATCTGTCTACATATTTTTACAGGAAACATGTGGCCCATATATGTAGCAGGCTTCTTCCAAACTAACTTTCTTCACTTGGTTGTTCCTGTCACTTGAAATGCTCATTTTCTCTCTCCACAAACACTGTGTTGACTCTCAGGCACAATTCAGCATCCACCCCTTCCCTGAAAGTCAGATCAATTCTCCTTTAGAGTAGGATGAGGAGTTGTAGGCTCAGTCTAGATCAGTGGGGCGATTGTCAGGCTTTGCCGCTTAGTAATTAAGTGACTTTGAGAAAGCCACTTAAGACCCCGTTCTCATTGTCTTCATTTTGGGAGTGGTATTGTCTCTCATTTGTAGGGTTGTTACAAAGATCAGAGTAGATAATCCATAAAAGTGTTGGGTAGACGTTAACGATAGAGAAATATATGGCAGTATTTCCTCTCTGTGGCCTTTGGATATACAATTACAGAAAAACTCACTAATATAAATTGGGAAATATATAATGGAGAGCTAGCAGTGAAAACCCAGTCATTGCTTCGTGTTCTCTATAGTTCATCCCCCAACAATCCTATAAAATATTTCGATTTTATAGATGGGGAAGCTGAAGCAGAGGGAGCTTACGTCACCTGTTTAAGAACACACAGCTGTTAGGTGGTGAAGCCAGGATTTACCCCAGACTTTCTCTGGAGCTTCTAAACCATGAAATAGTCTGACCTTTCACGATGGGCTGGGTGATGGGGGCTATGTGGTTCATGCATTTGACCTTTTTTTTCCCCTAAGTCTACTAAAAATACTATGTCCCTCACCAGCGTTTCTGCATCTTATTGTCCCATGCACATAGGGGTTGCTGGTTCAATTCCCAGTTTGGACACATGCCCAGGTTGTGGGTTCCATCCCTGATGGGGGGCATGCAGGAGGCAGCCAATCGCTGTTTTGCTCCCACATTGATGTCTCTCTCTCTCCCTCTCCCTATCTCTCTCTCTCTTTAAAAATCAATAAAACATCTTTAAAAAATAATAGCACAGTGCCACATATGTTTAACTAACATTTTCTCCTGTACACTGGTACTTTTCTTTTTTTGCACTTATTTCTCAGGCACTGATTGGGGTGGTGGAACTCTTGGCACCCAGTTCAGTTACCAGAAGTGTCCCCAGGATTGATAGTACTGAGCACGAAAGTTGAGGGAGATGTCAATCCACTGCCTGCCTTTGCAAATTACAGGCAGAGTTTCTGAAATGGAGCAGAGTCGCTAATCTTAGATTGCCTATTTTGAGTCATGACTTCCTATGACAAAGCAGGAGTTATGTGATAGAAGAATTCTAATATCCAGAATGGAGACCCAAAATATACACAGAGGCACCACAATTAAAAATTAATGTTGGAGAGCACTTCTAGGTGCTAGATGGGATGTTGATTCGTGAATGGCTTAATAAAGATCTTCAAATTAAAAAAAAATTAATGTTAGGCCCTGGCCAGGTGGTTCAGTAGGTTAGAGCGTTGTCCTGACATGGCAAAATTGCCAGTTCAATCCCTGGTCAGGGCACATACAAGAAGCAACCAATGAATGCAGAAATAAACGGAACAGCAAAATGATGTTTCTCTTTCTTTCCCACCCCCTCCCTCCCTTTCTCTCTCCAAAAATCAATTTAAAAAAATAACTTTAGTTCTTGAATTCTCTAGGGACAAAGAGAAGCCAGCCATTGAATAGCTTGTTTGAAGACAAACATTGGTTCATGTTTAATAGCAGGTTTGAATAATCCCTTGTTTAAGTCTTATTGTGTCTCTCTCACACACGCGCGCATACTAGTGGCCTGGTGCACGAGATTCGTGCACGGTGGGGTGGTGTCCCTCAGCCCAGCCTGCCTTCACCCTCTCCAATATGGGACCCCGAGGGGGATGTCCAACTGTTGATTTAGGCCTGATGCCTGTGGGATCTGGCCACAGGGATCAGGCCTAAACCGGCAGTCGGACATCCCTCTCGAAATCCGACCGCTAGCTCCTAACTGCTCACCTGCCCTGCCTGCCTGATTGCCCCTAACCACTCTTTCTGCTGGCCTTATCACCCCCAACTGTGTCCCCCCCCTCACCAGCCTGCTTGCCCCCAACTGCCCTCCCCTCCTGGCCTGATCACCCCTAACCTCCTCTGCCTCAGCCCTGCCATCATGGCTTTGTCCGGAAGGATGTCCAGAAGGTCTCCTGGAAGATCTCCTGGTCTAATTAGCATATTACCCTTTTATTAGTATAGATATATATGCATGTGTGTGTGTGTATTTCAAAACTTATTTTCCCAAGCTCTCAGAATTTACATATTGCATATTAGCTGCTTTTATATCAAAGCTTGTTTTTAATTTAAAGTATCACCCTTGCAAGATTGTAATTGTCAGCAAGTAGAGAATAGGATAGAGTGACACAAGGTGCAGGTTTTCTGCAGAAGCAGCTTGTGCTGATTGATTAAGCTGATCTATACAAGGGCTGTGGCTTTCAGATCTCTCACAGAGAGAAACTAAAGAAAGATGTGAGAGAAGTCACTTTGGGTTTGTTTTGCTGTCTTACAAGAAACACCATACAAACATCTCTGCCACTTCTAAACATTTCTCTAAATATGATAACTTCCAGAAAACAAAACCACAATTGACCATTTTTTTTCTCTAATGGGTTTTCTATTTTTAACATAAAAATGGAGAGAGAAGTACTAGTTGCTTTAGAATACTTCGTATTTAAAATGAGATATCCCAGGTGCTACAAAAGAGAGAGTTTGGATGTAATAGAAACTACATAGAACTGACTGACATCAAGCATGCTTTCATAAATGCACTCATATTTATGTCCAATCAAGTGGCTAAAACGTCAGGCATCCTGTTGCTTCTGCAGTGCCCTTAAAATCTCTGATCGTCCAATTCCAAATGCAACCTTTTTAGATAACATCAGAGGCTCCTGGTCATGTAGAGAAGGGTGTGTATTTAGAGGAGGGTATCTAAGCTAACGAATGCAGAAACTGAATACTCAAAAGAAACTTTCATGCATGGACCAAGCCTCTAGTAGGTGATCAATACATTTGTATCCAGAAGAGAGAGCGCACACCCTGGAAATTATTTGCTGTGTTGCTAATAGTGGCCGATCATTTTGATGACACCATGGAAGTGGAAGGAGGAGGGGCGGCGGGGATTAAAGAATAAGGTGTACTGCTACTTTAAAAGTATGCACGCCCGGCCCCTCCAGGTCCCTCCCCCTGCTCCAGGCACCTGCTGGCAGCTGGGGGAGCTCAGTTCCAGGCGGGCCTCCCAGCTGACTGCGCTGTTTCAGGTAACCCCGTGTTTGCTGTGCCGGGTCCCGGGTCCCGTAGTGGGCAGCCAAGGCTTCCTGGCAGCCCTTCTGCTGTTGCAGCCTATTCGCTAGAAGTAACGAGGGTCACTGGGGTGTTGCCAGGCAACGAGGGACTGGGGTCCTGTGAAGAGCATTTGTTGCACTGAGGGGACTGGTTGAGATGCAATAAAGAAATGGTAACTGGGCTTATTTGTCAATACAGTTACTTACACAGTATTGGGAGGGTCCGTATTTAACCTGCCCATACGTAGTCAGAGGAGGAAACAGGAGCATAAGCGTTTGCTAAATGCTAATGCCCGGGACAGACAGATGGCGTTGGGCTGCTAAGCTGCTTTGCTGGGAGTTTAAAGTTGCTGCATGTGCTGGGCAAAGGGGGAAAGGCCCCAAGCACTTTGCAGGCTTCATTCTGGCAGGAGCAAGTCAGCTCTGTGTTATAGCACGGGGTGCGGTGCGCAGAGCAAACCCACCCGGCTATTTACCTGGTGCAGCAGGTAGTGCTGGGTCTTGGGGGGAGAGTAACCATCGGGGTTTATTGTGGTGAAAACATTAATAAAGATAAATGCCTGTGTATAGATTTATAAGTCTGGTTGCCCTGTGGACTTGAGAGTGCCTGATGTGCTCAGCAAAATGAGGATATTGGCCCAAAGAATGAGTATTTGCCAAAACGAAGTCCTTCCCAGTGTTTGTTTGTTTAGAAAGCTCAGTGGTGGTTCTTGTCACGGGCTCCAAGTCCTCTTTCTCAGGAAGAACTCAAGTTCTACTGATGCAGCGGCTGTCACCTGACACTCTGCTTCTGGTTCCCAGACACCAGCTGCTCCCCATGCCTTGTCCATCGCCCGGGACGTCCGTGGTGTTACCTCGGGGTGAAACCGCCTCTGCACTTTCCCGAAAAACCGCCTCTGCACTTTCTCCAGGCTCCTTAATGTGCCCAGCGTTGGTGTGTTGCTGGCGAGCGGCGTTGGCGTTGGCCTCGTGACTTATGTAGGGATGCTCTGTCGGGACGAGGATGCTTTTCTGTAAACATGAATGGCCTGGCTCTCTCCCTGAGCTGGGGCCTCTTGTTGCACATCACGGAGACCTTGATTGTGGCCTATTTTGCGCTCATCTCCTGGGCTGACTCGCAGGGCCTCTTCCCGAGGCTGGAGAATGTGGGAGCCTTCAAGACTGTGTCCGTCATGCCAACCCACGCCACGTGCGGACTCCCAGACCACAGCACGTTTTGCCATAGCTCTGTGGTCGCCGAAAGTCTCCAGTCCTGCACCCAGAGGCTTTGCGTTCAGGATTGCCCCCACAGATCTGCACCCCCAGCCTACACAGCCCTCTTCTCCGCAGGCCTGGGGGGCTGCGTGGCTGCAGACACGCAGGATCTGCGCCCGGACTCCCCTCAAAATTCCACGAGTTTTATGTTTGGAAATCACACGAGCTGCATTTCTTCTCCTCCTCCAAGGCTGGCGGCATCATTTACGTTGGCTGTGTGGTTGAAACCCGAGCGGGAAGGTGTAATGTAAGTAGTCGAATGAGTGTACGCTTTCCTGGGAGCCTGAAAAATCAGTTGTAGCCAAGATGCTTACAACTGGAATTCCAGACCAGAAATGAAGGCTCCAGCTGTGAAACCCAGGCCTTTGAAGCTCAACTCCGAGGGTAGTCTTTTCTACTCCAGAGTACACTGCAAACATTTCCCCTAAATTTAACAAGTGCTGTCTCCTTTCTACAATGAAGCGAGGCCTCCGAAAAGCATGTTAAAATGGTTCATTGCAGGCAGTCATGTTTACACACCTGACTCCTGGGTTTCCTGGTAGTTCATTTAGCTCCACCTTCATCTTAGCAGTCAGAGCAGATTCAGGCTCAGTGAGTTTTAGGACATGGGGGCTGGTAGTGCAAAGAAATGATATTTTCAAAGTTTTAGTCGAAGTTTGCATAAGTAATCTGCTCCTACTAGAGTATGAACTTGTCATCAGGCAGGCAGCTCTCTGAGAGCTTAGTGCTTCAGGCATCTGTGTGTATTTCCGGTATCCTGGCTTTCCCAAAAGAAGTTTGTTTGACTCATGGGAAATGCCCAGTGTTAGGAGTTGAATAAATGAATAATTCTCCATCCTTGAAAAAGGCATAACTTTTGGCCCTTTACCTTGTGGAGTTCTCATCTTTTAGGAAATATGTAGGGAAGCATGAAAGATTCTCAAAGCTATTATGTCGTGGATCCCAGTAGAGATTCCTTCAGTGAGTTTGGAGTGGGGCTTCCTTAACCTCATGTCTTATCAGTTCATATGATCACATGCTTTTCATTCTGTAATAGTCTCCAAAACTGACATCTAATGTGTTTTCCTAAGTGTCTAGAGCAAGTCTGGAATTGAAATAAGTAGGACAGTCTGGAGGCCTGTTTTCTTATCTTTTGTCTTCCCGTAGGACAGTGGTTCTCAACCTTCTGGCCCTTTAAATACAGTTCCTCATGTTGTGACCCAACTATAAAATTATTTTCGTTGCTACTTCATCACTGTAATGTTGCTACTGTTACGAATCATAATGTAAATATCTGCTATGCAGGATGGTCTTAGGTGACCCCTGTGAAAGGGTCGTTTGACCGCCAAAGGGGTCGCGACCCACAGGTTGAGAACCGCTGCTGGAGGGCCTTTGTCTCTTCCCCATGTGACCTTTTCATTGTGTGACACTGTTGGCCAAATATCTAAAAACTTGGGAAATAAACCAGATAAGTCTTACAATCTCGTAAACAAATAGGCTTTAGATGTCTTGGGTGTTTGGTTTTAATTTGCCAAGTGAGAGTTGGTATATTTTCATTAAAAAAAATTTGGGAGTGAAAATCATCGGAAACCATCATCTCAATTTCTGTGTCACCCTAAAAGAAAACCCTGCTTTCTTACTGTTTGAAATGTCAGTAAGTCCAGACAACTCCATTTATGTAACTAGAGTACCATCTTTAAAAGCGATCTCTTGACAAGTATGAGTAGGACAAAGTATTTTTTTTCCAAAGGATATATCTGTACCAAACCCATCTCCTATTGGCATCACTTTTATATAAATAAGACAGAGGAGTATTTATAGAGGCCATAGCACATGGCTTACAGTTTTGGGAGTTCTACACATCAAGGTCATTTCCATTCTCAAAACGAAAATACTTATGGGAATTGGGGAAATTTCGGAGTGGTTGCACTAGATAAGTAAAACAAACAAAACTCGGATTATCCAGTTATTGTTTATCCAGGAGCAGAATAAATCCAGTTCCTAAATATTTTGCTACCTGCCTTCCTCTCACATTCATTATCTACTAAAGCTAGTATGTTTACAAGCAAACAAAATAGCAAGGAAGATAATAGCATATTAAGAAATGCATTTTCAGTAAGCTTGGGGAAATAAGCCTGCATTTGGTAAGTTCATCTTTGAGTAATGGTCAAATGCTAACATGTAGATTGAAACTCAAGAAAAAGGAATAGAGGCAGTTTTTCTCTTAGATTGTTTAAGACCTGGAATCATAGAATAAAGAGAGACTCTTTTATTTCCAGTGACTTAGAAATAACCACCCAGTGAAGGGTTAAACAAATCATAGTAGAATTTCTATAAAACCTTATTTCTACTTTATATAAAACATTTATATCAACTTAATCTAATATATATTTACTCTCTTAACTTTATCACCAAATATATGTACAAAATATTATAAAATAATGGCAGTAAAATAGTGACTATTAAGTGTTCTCTAAGCTTACTCTTATGTCTAAACGCTAGGAAATAATAAATGCAAGTGAGAAGGAATAGTTTGTGAAAAGTGTGCTATTTAAGGAATGTTTTAAAACATCTGTAGCAATAATTCTTGGTTGGCCCAATCTTCCATTTGCCCCTTCAGTCTTCAACGTATCTCAGAAAACTCATGATCTTAAGGGAAGACAGATTGATTAGTGTTATTAGAGAGGGAGCACCATGTGTTAAGTGAGCTCAAAGGAAGACCCCTTCTACAGTCTTGACCTGGGAGGGCTCAGGCATAACGATGGAGATGTCCGGGCGAGTGGGAGGCAGCTGCATGAAGAAAGGGACACAGACTCTTCCACTACCTGATGGAATTCTCCTACCTGGGTGTACCACCTTCTTGAGTTCTCATCTGTGAGATGCAAGCTGATGACCATCTTCAACAGCTAGTCATTCCAGGAGATGTTGATGGCTACTGTCAGTGACATTGCTCTTTATTTATTTATTTTTAAATGCATTTTTATTGATTACAGAGAGGAAGGGGGAGGGAGAGAGGAATAAAAACATCAATGATGAGAGAGAATCATTGACCGGCTGCCTCCTACAAGCTACCTATTGGGAATTGAGCCCACAACACGGGCATATGCCCTGACCAGGAATCGAACTGTGACTTCCTGGTTCATAGTTTGAAGCTCAAACACTGAGCCACCCTGGCCGGGTGTGATATTGCTCTTTAAACAGCAGATCTTTGGGAATAATCCACTTAGAAGGCAACTAGCAAGCATTCATAATCTGTCTTCTGCTAAAAAGTTGACTTGCTGAGGTTGAAATATGATAGAGAGGAATGGGGCTTAAGTGGACCCAGAATGGCCAGAAATACACAATGATATAATTAATATAAAAAAATTTATATTGAACATAAGCCAATATAGAAAATAACAATGATGAAATGTAAAAATGCCAAAACCTATTTAAAAGGATGGGGAAAGAGTATCACTGTGATTAGGAAAGAAGTGATTTAAAAATAATAATTTGATAACAGGCCTGAATGAAGACTAAATATTTTCTGAAAATTCTATTTAACAGAATATTATTTCACTATGTTCTCCAAATATTGGATGATCCTTCATCCAAGGTCAGTGCCTCGGGCTTTGTGGTCAGGGTCAGCCAGCCAGTCATCTTACAGACACCAGCTTTGGCTTCTGGCCGGTGGCCAACAAGGAGGTAAAGACTATAGTGGTCAGTTCTCCATTTCACCGTGGGAATTAAACAGCGCTGTTTAGCCTGGCCTCAACCTATGAACCAGGAGGTCACAGTTCGATTCCCGGTCACGGCACATGCCCGGGGTGCAGGCTTGATCCCCAGTAGCACAAGGCAGCCGATCAATGATTCTCTCTCATCATTGATGTTTCTTTCTCTCCTTCTTCCTTCCTCTCTGAAATTAATGAAAATATATTAAAAATAAATGGAGCTGTTTAGAGCCCTCTATGGATAGTAAATTTTCTTTACATTAAGAAAAAGAAAAGATGTGCACTGGTGACTCAATACCCAGGATATGATTGTGCTGCTGCTTATAAAAGAAATAGCAGAGGAACTAATGATCCCAGCAGCTGAATGTTAGTTTTTGCGGGATGATTTAGCCACTTCTGTTTGCAAAATGAATGTCTAATAAAGGGTGCTGAGGTTCTGAGGGATATATTATCAGTAAGAACTCTATTTTTTTAATTGAAATGAGAGGGCTTCTTATTCGGAATAAAGCTTGCTCTGAAAATGTGCGATGCCTTAGCCTGTCTTTTGGATGGATGCTGACCTTTTTTCTCTCCGGTTGCTTCCCAAGGTGTATTATAGAGAAGATGGCGCACGGGCAGATTGTGTTCAAACTTACAGTATCGGAGAAAGAAACCACGTTTTATTATCGCACAGTAAATGGTTTGCAGCCTCCAATAAAAGTAATGACACTGGGGAGAATTCTTGTGAAGAAATGGATCCATCTGAGTGTGCAGGTGAGTAAAATAAAACATATTTAACATTTGGTTAAACATACCAATCTGTCTTCCTTTCTTTCCTTTCAATGGCATCTTCCCCACAGGATCTGAAGCGGGTTCTTTTTAGCTTTCAAGCATGTGCAAATGACGACTCAAGAGAATCGGTATTTAAATGACCTAATGATGCATCTCTTGATAGACCAGCATTGTCCCCTCAAAATTGCTGCGAAAACTCCCACGGAAGCTTAGGACAATGCTATCTCGAGTAATAATACCCTCATGAAATTTTTGTTGCCTTTGGTTAGTATATTTTCTCTTGTTCAGAAATGCGTGAGGGCTTCTTTTTTGGTGTCTAGAAGTAACGTTACTGGCCGCGGCAGTGTGGAAATCCCTGCCTGGCTTTCGCATCTGCCTTTTGCAGATAGCATCTGATGATGGGAATAAAATTTGGCTGTTGCATTAAAATGCTGACCTTAGGACTAATGAACTTGACACATAAGACACTCGGAAGGTGTTATATGATTACTTTAGTTGTCAGCCACAGTTTGTATTAACCTTAGAAGCTGCTAAAGGCTGAGAGAACTGTGAGATGTCTGTTAGTTTATGGTTCCTGGAAGAGACAGGGTTTATATCCTTTTGTGTCTGCAGGGCACTGGCTGGGCCCGTGCGGCTAAGAGTCAGCCTTGCCTCTCATGGCAGAGGTACTGCGTGTGCAGTTCTCAGCATATGTTCCCATCGGGGCATCCGGACAGTGGTCCTTGTGAGCCGCATTTGCACCAGGGGGTATATATATATATCCCCATTTTTAAAATAAGAATAATATTTGATTTCTTGCATTTTTATCCCACCCAGCAGCAGGGAGCAAGTGGACTTCCTTAGGCCCTTGAGAGTTGTGGTCTGGGTTTTAGAGTCTGTTTGAGCATAGAAATTGTTCTTGGTGATATATGTACACTTTGTACATATCTTTGTTGTGCCTGGTTGTAAATGAAATCATGCCATGTATTTGCATAGCTGTGCATGAAAAGCCTTGGGAAGAATGTTTAAAATAGCAATACAGAGAGGCCACAATGGTTGATTCCTATAGGAAGGTATTGGTGAAGTGATAGTCAATCAGCATGTCATGCCTTATCTACTCAGCTTTTAGTTAGGATGAGAGTTTAGCACATGCACTTGGCAGGGAGCCATATTTCTAGGCCACCAGCGTTGAAAGGACCTGCAAAGGGGTGGTCATGTCTGATCCCAGGTTAGGACTGTAGAGCAGATGGGTTCAGTTTGTCAGAGCTTACCTCTCATTGTTCAGTAGTTAGCAGAGAGGGGCCTAATCTGTCCTATATCTCCAAATGGTCCATTCTAGCCAATGACTAGTACCACAGGACTGGGTTATAGTGTGAAAAACGTGCAAATAGAAACTGCCAAAGAAGGGGAATCTGCAGATGTCAAATCAATATGTTTTCATATGTTGGTATCAATGATGATAAAAAAATTCTTTTGACTTGCCGTTAAAATGTTGCCTGGTATGTGAGCCTGTGCCATGTGTTGGCAGCGGCGGTTGATTAAAAGCCATCTAAATGGGAAGGGGACCAGGACCGAGTCCCTCTCCTGGGAGTAAGAGGCTCTTAGAGTGCCTCTTGAGATGAGCATTATCTTCTCAATACACGTCAAATATGAGCCTTTCCTAGTTTAGGCAAAACTTCTTCATAAATCTTTAAATCTTACCCTTCTTTCAAGGAAAGGTTAAAGTACTTGTGATTTAATGAGTCCACTTTATTTCTTAACTGCCTAACTATCAAGAGAAAACTTGTCCTTTCCAATTTGTACACTTCTATTTACTTATTTTTTTAATATTTTATTGATTTTTTACAGAGAAGAAGGGAGAGGGATAGAGAGTTAGAAACATCGATGAGAGAGAAACATCGATCAGCTGCCTCCTGCACACCCGCTACTGGGGATGTGCCCGCAACCAAGGTACATGCCCTTGACTGGAATCGAACCTGGGACCCTTCAATCCGCAGGCCGATGCTCTATCCACTGAGCCTAACCAGTTAGGGCAATTTACTTATTTTTACATATGTTTTCCCCCATTCTACATTTTATGTTAAAACTATACATCTAAACAGTCATGGACCATGAGAAAAACCATGCAGATCAGCCATGTATTCATCTGGCTTTTATTGACAGATTCAGGGGTATCCCAGCATTATGAAAATCTTGATTCATTCAAATAAAAGTGAGAGCGAGTGCAATTATTTATTCTTAATGGGAGATTTGCATAGGGTTTCTTTAGTGGACACCAGTCTGAATATTTTGAAGATATTGTGAAATTTATAGTAATTCATTTTATAGGCATTGAATAAGGAATGTGCTCATTCCTACAATGTTATAAAAAGAGTAGGAAGGATGCAAGATTAGGAGTAGGGAAACCTGAGTCGGGTCCCCATACTGTGTAGTCGTAAGAAATTCTCTTGACTCGGTTTCTGTGCTTGTGTAATAAGGGGATTGGACTGGACGGACTAAACGAGGCTTCCTTGACTTTTACATAAAGACACAAGCGGACTGTGGAGTGAGGCACAATGTATGGAAGCGTGGAAAGCTGCTGGACAGGGTGTCTGGGTGTAAGCGACAGCGAGCTCTGCACGCAGCCCACACCAGGCTCGTGCTGTTTTCTGCTTTCCCATGCTGTCTGGTATTTACACAGAAACATTGTTTGGAGTAGATTTTATGGCCAAGATATGGGCAAAGGCAGCTTGTAATCGTTTCACCGTAGAACTGCAAAGAATATATTTTCATATGAAATGTAACTCACTGTTGCATTATTATGTAGCATATGCACTTTCTGTTTGATTTGGGGATTAGAGACTTTCACCATCGCTGGACATGGGCTAGAACACATAACTGATAGTCTGGGTTTAGTCAAATTGCGAATTGTAAGTCTGTAATTAATGTGTATGCATATTTTTACTTATGCTCCAATGTGTCCACAAGTCAATCAATTTATATGGGGTGTGTGTGCCCGTGTGTGTGTGTGTGTGTGTGTGTGTGTGTGTGTGTGTGTGTTTGTGTGTAAAAGAAAACACATCTTTACTCGTGGAATTGGCTCAGAAATCTGAATTTAACTTACAGAGACTTGATGACTTAAAATTAATGGATAGATTTCACTGTATACCTTACCTCAGACAGTTCACTCCATATCAGCTTTCTATCAGCAAAACCAGAATTCTAATTTTCCAAATTTGGGAAAAAGAAATGATTTTTTAAAACTAATTAGATCCCTTGGCAAAAAAAAAGGTGCCAGGGAGAGCCAGAGATTCTGAGCATTGAAAGTCTAATTTCCTAAACAAAAATGCAGAGGTTACAGCAATGGACCTAACAGCATCGGGAAGACTCCACCTGTTGGAATATGATTAGTTTTTAAATTAATATTCATTCAGAGACTTGAATCTGACATGATTGCCAATTTAAATTTCACTTTGTGCTTTAATATATTGGTTATTTCAAATTATATCAAGCTGAAATTCGTTATGTCATATTTTTTGTCCTAAAACTTGAAAAAAAATCAATTCAATCTTTTTATTATCAAACAGGGAACACTGCTTGCATTGGCTGATATGTTTAAGCCCAGTTTTTTGTATTACATCCGTATATGCTGTCCATATTAAAGAGATCTGTTTTGATTTTCTTTTTTAAAAATGGTTTGAAATACATAAGAGATGATACTTGAGCAGTTTGTTATGTGTTGGTTGAAAAAAGAAAGCAGCTTAGAAGTATATTATATTTAATTGCATATCATTTAAAAGTAAAACTTCAGTGTCCTATGAAAATACTGTTTTCCTCTAAGTAGTTCCACACATTTTATGGGATACATAGCATCAAAGAATCATCAGTATGGTAACCTTATTGTAATTATGCTGAAATGCAGTAAAACAATTACTAAAATTAGACACTGATAGATCCTGCAAATGTGGAAATAAGAAAGGGTTTAGCAGTGGGATTGTTCACATTCCCTGTGCTATTCTGAAGGCTACTTGATACACTGCCAATTCAAGAGCCACAGATGATTCTAACTACAGTAACATAAAAAAAAGAGCAGTTCTGATCTGTTACAAAGAAGGCAGAAATGCATGGGTAAATAAAGTTTTGGGGATCAATAGGTGAAGCACAGGAGTTTCATAATTGTAGTTCATGAAATATGTTCTTTTGATTTATGTATTCAATCTGAAAAAGGAAAACTATTGATAGTTCTGGAGAAAAAGAAAATGCAATTTAACCAACATTTGTTAGAATAGATAAACCAAGTCTCTCAATTAATCTCTGCAGTATATGCCCAGGTGCACACTTTGTAAAAGTATTTCCATGTCTCTATTGATTGGGGGCTCATAAAACGTCCGTGCAGCCTTCGGTGAGCGGTGTGTTCTGGGATTCCCATGGGAACACCACGTCAGCCCCCACCCCGTGAAAAATCCAATCCCTATCGTCGCATTAATACTGTTCATTGCTTTTAACTATAACTATGTGTATGTGTCTGTATTTGTAAAACATTGTTAATTTGTGCAAAGCCTTCTGTTTGTACCCTGGCAGCTTAATATCACCCAAGTCAGTTGAATAGCTTTAATTATGCACAATAAGTAAAGATCAATAGACTTTAACAACGCTTTTCACAATAATCAGTTAAAAATAATGATGATAACAGCTGCCATTATCGAGTACTGATTATATGCACCGTATTAAACATCGTAATGCTTAATTTTCAAATGTTAATGATAGTTCTGTGACATTGGCGTATATTTTCCCCATTACAGAGATGAGAACAGTGAGCCTCTGGGAGGTTAAATTATCTGCCTAAATTTAGTCTCAAGTTTCTGTGCACAATTCCAGCTGACCTGTAACTGAAAAAAAATACTAAAGTGCCATGAACCTGGATCACCAAGATTTATCAACAAGTCCTTTGCCCTCAATCTCCACCTTTCTCCCACCAGCAAGTCCTTGGATTTCAATTCCTAAGCAGCTCTCCGAGCTGCCCA